CTTCTCTCCGAGGGCGGTCTGTGTGCAGTAGCAGAGTCCGCTGCAGGCTGGGCCCATCCAGACCTGCCGAATCGGTGTCGGTGACCGGGCACTGCCATCTGAGCAGCTCTGGGCCGGGCCGTGTGCCCCTTCTCTCGGCATGGCCTGTTCCTCTTGCCTTGCTTTGGGGAAGCGGCTCAGGTCAGGAGGGCCTGGGGACAGACATGCCGTCTGCTTGTTCCCTGGGGACCGCAGGAAGCGCTGGCTCTGCCCCACTCCTGCCGTGGCACAGGTCTTTGCTGTCCGCCTTCTCCCCCTCCCTGCTAAACACTTGGCCACCAGCTGGGCCTGCTCAGCCAACTCCAAGTCTTCGCTCTGGCACAAACTTCGGTAAAGCCATGAAGGCGGGAGGTGAGACTTGGTTTTCCGTGGTTTCTGAGAACCCTGAAGTCTGTTGAAGGCGCTCTCAATCTGGGCTGTGATAGTCGTGACTTCCTACGGAGGGCCTGTGCTGGTACGATTCCCTCTCCCCGCCCCAGTGCAGGACACCACTGACCAATAGAAGTGAGAACCGGCTGGCGAGCGGCTCGGCGGGGCAGGGCTTCACCGAGAGACGGGCGGGCTGCAGCTGCTGCCCTCATCAAGCCAGGAGTCCCTCCCCCAGGGTGCCCAGCTCACGCCGCAGCCCGAGTTCTTCCACGACTCTTTCCAAATGCCTTACTCACAGGGAGACGGCAGACTGAGCCGCAGGCCCACTGCCCGGCTCCGGTGAAGAACTAGTCCTCTCCGATGACCTTCCGCGTTCCCCTCCTTGACCCTGCTTGGTTCTGCCCGTGCAGCCCTCAGCATAGCAGAGGGCCTCGGTAGCCAGCGGGGACAGTGCTGGCCCAGCTGCGCGGTGGCCACGGGGCGTGTCCACAGCAGCCGGCAGGACCCGGGGCCCCCTCAGCCTGCGCTTGAAGGCGGCGGCGGGCTCGCTCAGCCTCTGTCACAGTCCTGCTCAGCTCAGGGACAGGCACGCGCCCCACTCTGAGTTACACACGCACGGGGCCACTTCCCTGCCGGGGACGGAGGCGCTGGGCTGTGGTCTCCCCTGTGGCCAGTAGCACATGATTTCACCGCTGCCTTTGGGACAATCTCAGGCTCTCTTCAGGCCCCACGCCCGTCGTGTCCATCTGACGTGGCCTGCTGTCAGGAGCGGGGCAGTGAGTGGTTCCTGAGCAGCTTCCGGCGGGGGCATCAGAAAGTGATTTAACCGAGACTAGGATGCCCCAGGCAGGGCTCCGGCTCCGGGCTCCACACCCTTCGTGCCTGGTCTCCAGGCTGAGCCCCAAATCCCTCTGCTAAGGCGCTGTGGGGGCCGGTGGTGAGTCCGCACAAGCTGCCCTGGATCCCCTTCCCGTACGTGCATGCTGGGCCGCACGCTGGCGTTCTGTCGGCCAGCCGAATTTCCCTGAAATGACCATGCCACCAGCTTCAGGCCAAGAGCGGGGCATGCGGCTAGATCGCGCCCCAGACCACTGTGCTCCTTGGACCCGGGGTGGTCAGCTACCTTGTGACTTAGAATAGGGCTGGCGCAGGTGGCAGGTGGGACGTGGCAATCCCATCAGGGGCGTTGGAGGGGAGGGGTAGTGGCAGAGTGGGGCCGGTCTTCACTCCCTTTCTGCCCACCTCTGAGTAGGAGACAAGCTCCCAGGAGCACCGAGTGACCTTGGCCAGCCTTGTTTTCAAGGGCTTCTGATGAGGCTGACCCAGGCTAGCCCTGGAGGTGGCCACAGGGGTCTCCACCAGGGCCAGCACGAGGTGCCAGGACGGTCACAGGGGAGCCCTGAGGGCCAGCATCCACCATGTCACTCTCGGGCGGGCAGGAGATCCTGCATTCCGAGTGGGGGACCCCAAGAAAGGACGTCATCGCGGGGACTCCGATGGGAGACCCAGCACAAAGCCAACACCGCTTTGCCTGGGAGAGCACAGCCGGACGTTCAGAGCCGCACAGACCCGCCGAGGGCGTCCTGGGCCAGCGAGGGTGTGAGGGGAAGGCTCTGCCGTGAACTTCTCCACGAGGGAGCCACCGGCTCTGTGGACTCGCGGCCCTGGCCCAGCCTGCCCTACCTAAGCACTTCTGCACTCCCTGGGGACATGTCATGGGCTGTCTTGGGAGATGCTCTTGGGTTTGACACAGGCACTTCGAGGGCTCAGGGGAGAAGACAGAGGGCAGAGACCCTCACCTCTGAGAGCAGAGAGAATCCTGGCCCTGCCTCCAGTCAGAGACAGGGAGACAGAGAGACAGGACGCGTGCAGGCGCATGCACTGTGACATCCCAGCAGCCGTGCGGGGAGTGCCCGGGAAGGAGGCTGGGCCGGAGGTGCCTACCTGTACCTCTGCTTCACAGACTGCTTCTCTGCGGACTGGCAGGCGTGCCCCGCATAGTACAGCGGGAAGAACAGGAAATTCCAGTTGGTGGCAAACCACGTCAGGGTGAAGGGCGCGTCGAACGTCCTGAAGGTCAGTTTGGCGAGCTGTGTGCTGCCGGCCCAGGAGGCACACACGCACAGCACCACCGCCACGCCCCACAAGGCCTTCCCGAGCTGTGCCCCGGAGCACGGTCGGCAGCGCCGCCGGCCTCTGCCCCTGCCGGCGCCTGGGCCTCTGCCGGGCCCGGGGGGTCCCGGGGGCGCTCCTCCCCTGGGGAAGAGAAGGGGCTGTTAGCTGGGCCTGCAGACCCCCACCTGCCACCCGCCAAACGACCCCCAGCCACTGCCATGGCCGGCCACCTGGAGGGAGGATGAGGGCAAGGGGCAGCTGGCTCCCGGGAGGATGGCTCCCGGATCCCCCAGGTGGGGTCATCAGCAGCCCCTCCCCTGCCTTTCTCGGGAACTTGTTGGAAACTCAGATTCACAAGGACCGCCCAGACCCCAGAATTGGAACTACATTTCTACAGGTGATCGGCCTGTGCTGGGGACACTTCTGCGGACTCAGCAGCTGCGACACGTCCACCCTGGGTCAGCCCAAGTTTCCCACCATGCTGCGGGGGGTGGGGCTAGCATCCATGTGCCTACCGGAGGCAGGGCAGGCCGAGCACCCCAGACCCCAGCTGCAGTGCAGCACAGCGCAGAGCAGCCCGCACGTGACGACAGATACCGCTCTCTCCTTTGCCTGCACAGAGGACAGACGCCCCTCTGGGCTTTCCGTCTGCTCTGACTGGCTCCCTGCTGATGGCCAGTGGCCCGCTGCACAGCTGTACTTAAAAACCACAGCCTCTGGCAGCTGGTGTGCAAAAGGCCAGGGCCCGCCACTGCAGCCCCGCCACTGCAGAGGGGATGGCTGGACACCGGCTGCTGCCCAAGAGGGGCCCCGGGCGCCGTTCCCACGGGCCAAGAGAAGGCGAGGAGTGTTTTCCGCTGGTTGGTTTTCGGTCATGACGGTGTGCGCGTCGGTCAGCTGGAAACCTACACCGAGCCGCAGCCCACGCTGGCTGTCGCTGCAGGCGGGCCATTTCCAACAGACACGGCACTGCCTGGCATCTGGCTGCATGGGGCACCCGAGAACACTGCGGGGGCCCAGGAACGAACCCCGGGGCAGAGTGGGGTCAGACGTGTGCACTCCACATGCTAAACTGGGACTAAACCCAATGGTCATTAACGTTGTACCCTCACTAAGTTTTGAACATGACACGTTCCGGGACATAATAATCATGGGTTGGCTGTCCCGTCAGCCACAGCCCTGGCCGAGAACAGCCGGGTATGGCCAGGCCAGGACAGAGCACCCTCTGCCGGTGCCCACCCTGCTCGACCCCATCTCTACTGTGCTTCTCTGCCTTGTCAACACTGCCCCTTCCGTGTGCGTACAAAGCCCCGGGAAGCCCCCTGAGAGCCAACGTGCGGTCACATTCAGCACGACAGACTGCCTCCCTGCTTGGGCTGCGGCGGCGAAGTGGAGGAGGGAAGTGGGACGACGGGGTCCGTCCCTCTGCGTTGTGTGCCCCCACAGGGACCCTGCTGTGCTCACGGAGGGCTCTCCCGCCCGAGGCCGGCCCAGGCTCGGCTCAGCCCACACGTGAGCACCTGCCGTCCATGATGGGACGAGCTATCCGGTGTACAGGGGCTAGGGAGGTTTCTCACTGTCGGGGTCACTGCTGACAGCCCAGACTGAAGAGACAATGGAGGAGATAAAACAAAAAGTCCCTGCAGACATTGAAGGCAGCTTCGCAGCGACGGCTTCCAGCCCTAAGGGTTCGGGGCAGGCAGAGCAGACGCAGGGGCACAGCAGTTCTGCACCGAGTGTCCTCACAGCAGCCAGCCAGCTTCGACACGGAACTAAGCAACTGCACCCTCTTCTACAAGGGAGGAGCTCAGCACGCTCTGCGACTCTGTTCGCTAAGATGCTGCAGCGGGTTTGAACCAAAGAAGCTATTCTCTGGGGCCAGCAGGTGGCGTGGTGTTAAGGCACCAGACTCCCCATGGCTGACTGCAGTTAGAGTCCTGGACCTGGTGACTTACTTTCTCCCTGTCTCTCTCTGGTGAGTACCCTTGCCCTGAAACGAACTTTAATAATAATAATAATAATAATAATAATAATAATAATAAAGATGTTATTCTTTAACTTTGTAGGTTCTGATTTCTCTAACCAGGGGAGTATTAACAATACACAAACAAAACAGACACTTTTTCGAAACCACCCTCAGTACCCTACTATTTAAGAATAACATACATGACAGAACAACATTTTCCAAGAAATAATGAATTTAACAAGTATTATGAGAAAAAAAAAAAGAAAGAAAAACTCCGTGGTCAGAATTCTTAGTGAGAACAGCAGGACAGAGGGCCCCCGTAGGAGCATGTGAGCTGACGGACAGCACACCTCCGGGGGCTGCGACAGAATGCATGAGTGCACGCTCCCCGTGTTACGTACGTGTGTGACACCCATGCTAAGGACTACTGGACCCAAGAACACACTTTTGGAAGTCCTGGAATAAACTCATAAAGTCAACTAAACTGAATTGACTCAAACCTCCCGTTTCACTGTACTGACGCCTCCCAGTGAAGATCATTCACCAGGCTCATTAGCTCACCCGCTTTTCTTTCAATGAGAGAGAGGAAGAGAGAGCTACTTTTCCGGGAGGGTTTCACCATGCCACAACCCACTCACCCCAGCCTCCCCGTTAACTGGAATCAGTCGCCCTGCTGCAGGTCGGTCCAGGAGCTGAGCCCCCACCTGCACCACCGCAAGCGGATGCCTCGCTGGCTGCTCTTAATACTTGCAGACACTGCCCACCTCACGTAAACAGAAACAGCCTTGATGAGTATCATGCACCACGATGCCCTCAATAGCAAAGGAACAGCGATCTCTAGGAACTCGTGCCAGCGGCCCCACAGCGGTGGCGAGGCACTGCACGGGGAGTGGAGATGGCGGCCCCACAGCGGTTGCGAGGCACTGCACGGGGAGTGGAGTCGGAGGCCCCACAGCGGTGGCGAGGCGCTGTGCACGGAGAGCAGAGCCCAGGCAGCTCACTGCGGTTTGGGTCGCAGCCCTGGGCTGGAGGAAGATCCACAGCATGACCGGGCTCCCCGGGGTGGCCTGGACATCCCTGCTGACCTGTGCTGCTGCGTTTTCTCCAGTCTGTGTCTGTGTAACACCCGCACGGTTCTCGAGAGAGCCGTGCCCATGCGAGGCCACATACACCCCTCACACACTCACACACCAGACCCGGGATCCTAGGAGTCCTCTCACACCTAGGCGGGTATGCCGTGGCCTGCTCATGCCTGCCCTGGGCTGGGCGTACCCTGTGACACACCCTCCGGGTGCTCGGGAAGCCTCTGCTCTGTGCCAAGAGCTCCGAGGCTCTTTACGTAAACGGAGAGCACAGCCACCACTCTGGGAACGCGGTCGACCCGAAGTGATTGGAAGGACTGGTGAGGAATCCCGGACTGTCACATGCAGAACAGAGACTCTGGGAGTGAGGTTCATGTGACCCAGGACAGCAGCTACAGGGAGGAGAGCCCAGCCTGGATGAGAGGCTGCAGCAACAGCAGGGCAAAGTGCAGGTTCTGTGTCCACGTGTCCACGTGCCCAGTGGCGGGAAGGCAGGAGTGGGAGGGGCGCTGCCGCCTGGCCCCGCGGCAATGCCGGCCTCGCTGTAGGGACTTGCTGCTGCAGAATCTGCAGCGACTGAGTACTCACCGACCCGCGCTACCAAGCGAGAGTGAACCCCACTGTCAGAGCCAGGTGTAGCTGGCAGAGTGGTCAGCGTGGACTCCAATGCAGAGCAGCGCCTTGGCTGGCGAGCAGGCAGGCGCTCTCACCGCCAGACATGCAGGAAGCGCACTGGCCCACACCCGCTCCTGCCTCAGGGCGAGTCCCAGGGCTGTCCCTGGGCGCTAGACAGTTTGGGCAGAGGACATTACTACTAAGTCAAGCTTCCTTTCAAGTGCAGGAAACTTCCGCTGGTCAGGATGCCCAGGTCCGAGTTCATGCCTAAGCCCAGCTGGAAGAGGCTGCAGACTTGTGCACGGAGCCATGGAACTGGCCTCACCCTGCGTCCCACCCGCTCCTCTGCCTGCAGGTGCATGACTAGAAATACGACTGATGTCCCCCACCCAGCTGCCAACGCCGCCTGCTGCTGGGGCCCCCCAGTTTATGCCCTTCTTGTACCACTCATGTGCATCCCATGTTCAGCCGCCATCCGGGCATGGTACAGGGAGGTCACACCCCGGCCAGGAGTGCTGCTCTCTGGGGCTGTCGCTGCAGTCGAGCCTCTCCCCCTGGAGCCCTGTCTTCTCTAAATGCTGCTTATGCTACTTAATTCACCTGGAAATGCTGGTGGCAGGCAGCTCTACCCAGTTGAGTGGCTGGAGCTTCCACGGAGCATTTTGGAGAAAGGTGAGTGTGTGTGTGTGCAATTGTGTAGGGGACTGTTGTGCACAGCAGCTCCCCGTGGCACAGTGAGCTGCAGCCAGGCCTGTGTGGGGGCTTCCGTTCCACACCGTTTCAGAGTCCCGAGGGCTGTCAGACGATTTGCTGAAACTGTGTGCCAGCCTCCCACCTGCAGTCACCCTCCCAGCCGGATGCGTTAAGCCCCACTCGGACTGGGCAGAAGCAGCGCCCAGAGGCGTCTGATCAGCAGCTGGGAACTCGAGGCCCCACTGGCCGGGCTGGGGGTCTAGCTTAGCTGCCAGTCCTCTCGGAGAACAAGGCAAGAACTTCATTTCATGAGCTGCCCACTGCAGAAAATGGTAAATCGGAGCTTTTATGCTTATTTTTAGTGAACGTCATTTCTCTTAGGAGAAGGCGAGAAAGACTGGAAACTCTTTCACTGATCTTACCGTTCACACGAAATGGTGTTTTTGAACTTCTTTACAAGGTCCCCTCAGAAGACATGGGCCCTGCTGCTCCTCTACAAAAAGTCTTCAGGGAGCTTGCATGTAGAAAGTGACACGTCCTGTCGTTAGAGCAAGGGACCCAGCGCTTGGGCCAGGGCCACTGCTGGCTGGCACGGCAGCAACACTGCCCAGGCTGGAGGTGCCTCTCCACGGACGTCCGCACCGATACAATCTCCGCAGTTATTTTTACAGCTTTATTCGAGGTCTTATTTATAATTTTTCATTGCATAAAACGCAGCCTTTTAAAGTGCGGTCATGTGTCACTCGATGCTGGAGGTACTCCGGAGAACTCGCCAACAGGCGTCT